GAAGTGGAAGGGACTTCACAGGATGCAGAGGAAGAAAATCCCAAGATGGCTGGGTCTACTGGGACCCTGAGTCAGCAGTGGCTCACGCCTGTAATCCCAGCATTTTGGGAGGCCAAGGCAGACGGATCATCTAAGGTCAGGAGTTCAAGACCAGCCTGGCCAACATGGTGAAACCTCGTCTCTACTAAAAATACAAAAATTAGCCGGGCGTGCTGGCGGGCACCTGTAATCCCAGCTACTTGGTAGGCTGTGTCAGGAGAATTGCTTGAACCTGGGAGGCGGAGGTTGCAGTGAGCCAAGATCGTGCCACTGTACTCCAGCCTGGGTGACAGAGTGGGACTCCATCTAAAAAAAAAAAAAAACAAAAAAACCCAAGAAAATCGCAGAATGACAGTTGTGCAACAGGCCTGGGGGGCATCTGGCACAGAATAAAGCAGGAGGGCAGCGGCCTCCGGGAGGATTACTTTTAGGAAAAAAAAAATCTTAGGTCACCTGGTATACTGGACCATATTAAGAGAATTTTAGGCCAGGTGCAGTGCCTCACTCCTGTAATCCCACCACTCTGGGAGGCCCAGGCAGGACTGCTTGAGCGCAGGAGTTCACGATCAGCTCGGGCAACACAGCAAGACCCCGTCTCCACAAAAAATAAAAAAAGTAGCCAGGCAAGGTGATGCTTGCCTGTAGTCCTAACTACTCGGGAGGCCAAGGTGGCAGGATCGCTTGAGCCCAGGAGGTAGAGCCTGTGGTGAGGCAGTGAGCTATGACTATGCCACTGCACTCCAGCCTGGATGACAGAGCAAGACCTTGTCTCTTAAAACAAAGAAGAAAAAAAAAGAGTGAGAATTTTACTCTTTTCTGAACAGTTTGAAGATAAACTAATGATAGATGTAGAAACAAGTGACCAAATGAAAAAAATCAAGAACATTATCTCCAGGAAAACCAAAAAGCTGTATGAGAAAAGAAACGTAAAACTATATGGAACAGCTGTGACCAATGTTTACTTTGTAAAGATACTAAAGTCTCGAATATAAGTTTAATCAAAAACTATAGGAAGGCCAGGCAGGTGGCCTGGGCAGAAGGCTGGCTGTAATCCCAGCACTTTGGGAGGCTGGGGCAAGAGGATGGCTTCAGACCAGGAGTTCGAGACCAGCCTACACAAGGCAGTGAGGCACCATCTTGATAAAATATTTATTTTTTGGCCAGGTACTGTGGTTCACACCTGTAATCCCAGCACTTTGGGAGGCCGAGGCGTGCGGATCTCCTGAGATCAGGAGTTTGAGACCAGCCTGACCAACATGGTGAAACCCCATCTCCACTAAAAACGCAAAAATTAGCCAGGGGCCTGGTTGGCAGGCGCCTGTAATCCCAGTTATTTGGGAGGCTGAGGCAGAAGAATCGCTTGAACCCAGGAGGCGGAGATTGCAGTGAGCCGAGATAGCGCCACTGCACTCCAGCCTGGGTGCAACAGAGCAAGACTCCGTCTCAAAAAAAAAAAAAAAAATTTTTTTTATTTTACATTTATTTTTTACTTTTCTCACTCTGTGACCTGTAATCTGTAGCCTGTAACTCTCACTCTGTCACCCAGGCTAGAGTCCAGTGGTGCAATCTCAGCTCACTGCAACCTCCGCCTCTTGGGTTCAAGCGATTCTCCTGCCTCAGCTTCCCAAGTAGCTGGGACTACAGGCATGCGCCACGATGCCTGGCTAATTTTTGTACTTTTAGTAGAGACGGGGTTTCACCATGTTGGCCAGGCTGGTCTCGAACTCCTGACCTCAGGTGATGTGCCTGCCTCGGCCTCCCAGAGCGCTGGAATTACAGGCATGAGTCACTGCGCCCGGACTTTATAAAAAACTTTACAATTAGCCAGGCATGGTCGTAGGCACCTGGCTATGGCAGTGTATTGCTGGATTTTTCCAATGCCTCTTGCTCCTAAATACGGTCACAAGACTGGGTTCCGGACAGTAAATATACCAGGGGTTAGTTTCCCAGTGTCTTCCTTAAAGGTAGCCAGGTCACTCTTCATCCCATTCTCCTGTCTGCTAGCTGCAATGTGACTCCTGGAACCGAAGCAGCTGCTTGGGCCTTAAGGGAATATTCACAAAGGAAGTCATGCTCATGAGCCACAAGACGGAAGCATCTGGGTCCCTGAGAGCTTCATGGAGCAGAGCTGCCACACCTTCCCTAGACTACCTACCCTCCAGACATTTATAGGAAAGAGAAGGAAATTTCTCTTATATAAGCCACTGCTATTTGGGATCTGTTAAAGCCAAACTTCATCTTAACTGCCACAAACACATTCAAGTATTTTATTTAGAAATACAGATGCAAGGTCAGGTGTGGTGGCTCACACCTGTAATCCCAGCACTTTGGGAGGCTGAGGCAGGTGGATCATGAAGTCAGATCAAGACCCTCCTGGCTAACATGGTGAAACTCCATCTCTATTGTGCCACTGTACTCCAGCCTGGGCGACAGGGGAGAGAGCAAGACTTTGTCTCAAAAAAAAAGAAACACAGATTCAAAGAAAAAAGAAATACAGATGCAAATGGTAGAATAAAAAGATGAGGCCGGGCGCAACGGCTCACACCTGTAATCCCAGCACTTTGGGAGACCAAGGTGGGCAGATCACATGGTCAGGAGATCCAGACCATCCTGGCTAACATGGTGAAACCCCATCTCTACTAAAAATACAAAAATTAGCTGGGCGTGGTGGCGGCACCTGTAGTCCCAGCTACTCGGGAGGCACAGTGAGGCAGGAGAATGGCATGAACCCGGGAGGCGGAGCTCGCAGTGAGCCGAGATCGCGCCACTGCCCTCCAGCCTGGGCGACAGAGCAAGACTCCGTCTGAAAAAAAAAAAAAAGACGAAGAGTTGGCATCTAGGAAGATCTAGGAAGCTGCACTTGGGAATGAGTAGAAGAGGCCCAAACGACTTCTGGTTCCGCTTCAAACCTTGTACTACAATTTTATATTTTAAGCGATGCACATAAAATATACGTAATTGTAAAAAAGAAAAAAAAAGGCCAAGGGCAGTGGCTCATGCCTGTAATCCCAACACATTGGGAGGCCGAGGCAGGCCGATCATTTGGAGTTAGGTGTTCCAGACCAGCCTGGCCAACATGGTGAAACCCAGCTCTACTAAAAATACAAAAATCAGCCAGGCGTGGTGGCACATGCCTGTAGACCCAACGACTTGGGAGGGCGAGGCAGGAGAATCACTTTAACCCACGAGGCAGAGGCTGCAGTGAGCCGAGATTGCTCCAAAAAAAAAAGAAGAAAAGCAAAGCCGGGGCAGTGGCTCATGCCTGTAATCCCAGCACTTTGGGAGGCCAAGGCGGGAGGATCACCTGAGGTCCGGAGTTCAAGACCAGCCTAACCAACACGGAAAAACCCTGTCTCTACTAAAAATACAAAATTAGCCAGGAGTGGTGGCGCATGCCTGTAATCCAAGCTACTCAGGAGGCTGAGGTGAGAGAATCGCTTGAACCCGGGAGGCAGAGGTGGCGGTGAGCTAAGATTACGCCACTGCACTCCAGCCTGGGCAACAAGAATAAAACTCCTTCTCAAAAAAAAAAAAAGAAAAAGAAAAAATAAGCAACCATCAGAGCAAGAAGTGGTCAGAGCAGGGACGGTCTGGAGGGCCGACCCAGAAGTAAGGGAAACTCTGGGGAAGGTGAGCAAAGCAACAGTGGTGGGGGTGGCACCAGTGTTGGGTGCGGAGGAGAAATGAATGGAAACCCGTGAGAGTGGGCAGCTGGTCTGGGGCTATCCTGTTGGAAGCTAGGCAGAGGCCTCGTTGTCACTGACTTCAGCCATTTAGAGACCCACTCAGGGCTCTCCATCCTGCCCCAAGACCACTGTTTTGAGCTAGGGTTCCCAGAGGACTTTCCAGTGGGAACAGAAGCCTGATCTGGGCCTTCCAACAGCCATTCAGTTTTCATTCTGGCTTCAGTTTTCTTTCTTTTTTATTTTTTTTGAGATAGGGTCTCACTCTGGCACCCAGGCAGGAGTGCAACAGTGCAATCACGGCACACTGCAGCCTTGACATCTTGGCCTCAAGCGATCTTTCTGCCTCAGCCTCCCCAGTAGCTGGGACTACAGGCTAGCACCACCACACCCGGCTAATTTTTAAAAAATTTTTACTAGAGGTCGTGTCTCGCTTTGTTGCCCAGGCTGGTTTCAAACTGCTGGCCTCAAGTGATCCTCCCACCTCGGCCTCCCAAAGTGCTAGAATCACAGGCTTGAGTGAGCCACCATGCCTGGCCCCTGCTTCATTTTTCCAGATGCCCCCTCTTCCATCCAAAAGTCATTGTGGCCCCATGCCACCTGCTCGGTCCTTCCCACGTGGTGCTGAACAGTTTCTGTTGTGTTCTGCAACCCCAGTCACTCACGAAGATCAAGCCATTTCTAGTGACCCTCTGCCGCGCTGGGGGCCTTTCCTAGGGGAGTGGTCTCCAGCACTCTGCCTCTCCTAGGAGCTCTCCAGGCTGCGTTGCAGAGCCAGTTATCTGTGAGTTCACATTTCCTGCACCCCAGATGATGGGCTGGGACTAGACCTGCCCAACCCACACCAGGCACACAGAAGGCCCGGCATGTGTCTGCTGCACGAATGAGTAAGTGAATGAGGGAAAGAGGGGATGACTGAGCATCCTTCAGTCAAAGTGGGCAGCCTGGTGCTCAGGTACCTGCTGGGGTACAGCTTGTGGGGTGCTCCCCGTCTGCTCTGGGGGGACGTTCTACCCCACCCAGACTCGCCCTTTCCAAACTCTCCAAGATTCCCACTCCCACAGCTGCTCACCGCCAGGGGCCCCACCCTCCACACCCCCTCACAGGCTTCTCCTCAGGGCCCCCATCCCTGGGAGCCCAGGAAGGAAGAAAGCAGTGTCCACATGACGAAGTCCCAAGTGGCCATCCCCCTCCACGGCCTGGCAGGAACCCCAAGGTTTCTGGGTGGGCCCCTTGCCTCAGCCTCAGGTACGGGGCCGAACCTGACGGGCTCCTTACCGTACATCTTGCCCTCGTCCGACAGGATAATTTTACGCCGGCCACAGGGCGGGTAGATGGCCAGGGCCTCCTGGAAACTCTGCTCAATGTCCGGGCTCCACACGCCCTCTGCATCATTGTCGATGGGCTTGTCCAGCGCCTGACTGCCCCCAGAGACGTTGCTCCCCTCAGGGGAGTTGGGAGAGCTCCACTCGTTGGAGGTAATGGTGCCGGCCTTGCCCTCCAAGGCTCCGCTTGGAGGAGCGCCCGTTGGACCTGTGGGGACAGGAACCGCAGCCCCGGTGAGAAGTGGACGAACTGTGTGGGTCATAGGATGAGGGCACTCCAGGGAGTGCCAGAGCCCAAATCAGTTGCTCAGGAAGCAAAGCATCAAGTGACAGGTCTGTGAGAATCAAGCCTGGGGTCTTGAACAGGTCATTTCTCCTCTGGAGAGCTCGTCTTCCCATCTGTCGAATGAGCACAATGACCTAGGCACTCCCTGACATCAAGGTTCTAGGAACCCAGGCAAGGGCTGAGAAGTAGGAGACAAGGACGCAGTGCCAGGGATGCACTGACATTAAATCAACACTGGGCAAAAAGCATGCAAAATACTGGGGACTATTGGTGGGAATGCAAAATTGTGCAGGCCGGGCGCTGGGGGTCACACCTGTAATCCCAGCACTCTGAGAGGCTGGGACAAGTGGATCACTTGAGGTCAGGAGCTCAAGACCAGCCTGGCCAACACGGTGAAACCCCATTTCTACTAAAAATACAAAAATTAGCCAGGTGTGGTGGCAGGCACCTGTAATCTCAGCTACTCGGGAGGCTGAGGCAGGAGAATCGCTTGAATCCGGGAAGCAGAGGTTGCAGTGAGCCGAGATCCCGCCATGACATTCCAGCCTGGGCGACAGAGCGAGACCATATGACCCAACATCTGGGTATATACCCAAAAACAGGGAAAGCAGGGTCTCAAAGAGATATGTGCACACTCACGTTCATGGTGGCATTATTCACAAGAGCCAAAAGGTAGAAACAACCCACATGTCCATCAATGGATGAATGGATGAACAAAATGGGTCTATACTTACAGCAACACACAAGCTTTAAAAAGGAAGGCAACCTGGACACGTGCTGCAGCACAGCACTCTGTCTGGGGGCAGTCTCCTGATTAGGACATTACGCTGAGTGAAATACGCCAGTTACAAAACAACCCAAACACGACATGGTTCCACTGACGAGGTATCTAAAGCAGCCACATTAGGCCAGGCACAGTGGCTCATGCCTACAATCCCAGCACTTTGGGAGGCTGAGGCGTGAGGATCCCTTGAGCCCAGGAGTTTCAGACCAGTCTAGTCAATATAGGGGGACCCCATCTCTACAAAAAAATTAATTAAAAAAAAATCACCCGGCCGGGCGCGGTGGCTCAAGCCTGTAATCCCAGCACTTTGGGAGGCCGAGACGGGCGGATCAGGAAGTCAGGAGATCGAGACCATCCTGGCGAACACGGTGAAACCCCGTCTCTACTAAAAAATACAAAAAACTAGCCGGGAGTGGTGGCGGGCGCCTGTAGTCCCAGCTACTCGGGAGGCTGAGGCAGGAGAATGGCGTGAACCCAGGAGGCGGAGCTTGCAGTGAGCTGAGATCCGGCCACTGCACTCCAGCCTGGGCGACAGAGCCAGACTCCATCTCAAAAAAAAAAAAAAAATCACCCAGGTGTGCTGGCTCACACCTACAGTCCCAGCTACTCCGGAGGGTGAGGGGGGAGAATCACTCGAGCCTGGGAAGTCAAGGCTGCAGTGAGCCATGATTGCGCCACTGCACTCTAGCCTGGGTGACAGAGCAAGGCAGTCTCAAAATAGATAAATACAATACAATAAAAATAAAGTAGCTGGCAGGGTGCAGTGGCTCCCAGCACTCGGGGAGGCTGAGGCAGGAAGATCATTTGAGTCCAGGAGCCAGCAAGATTTCATCTTTACCAAAAATGTTAAAAACAAAAATGTTTTTAAGTGGTCAAACTAATAGAAACAGAGTAGAATGGCGGTTACCAGGGGCTGGTGGGAGAAAGAAACAGAGACTTGTGACTTGAGGGGTAGAGTTTCGGTTTTGCACGATGAAGAAGTTTCTGGAGATCTGCCGCACAGCAACGTGAATATACTGAACACTACCAACCTGGATACTGAAAAAGGGTTAGGATGGTAAACTTTGTGGTCTTTTTTACCACAATGAAAAATTTTTAAAAATGCGTATACAATATAATATAGGTCACTGTTCTCCTGTTCCCTTCCCGACTCAGGCTCTCTCTAAAAGAAACAGTCTGGGCAGCTCCTCACACACTGGTGCAATGGCAGGATTGACTTTCTGGTGCCTCTGGGGGCTCATGGCCACAACCCCGCCTTCCCCTAACATGAAACAAATCCAGTGACCTCTCGGCTCCAACCATCCAAGCTGTAAGCTTCCAGACACAGTTCTCAGGGGTTTATGAAAGAGCAGGACGTACTAGTCATCTTAAGGAAGTTTTTGGGTTATGAGTACCTCCCACAGCCCTCCCAGAGCCCCCAACTTCTCCCCATCCCAGCCACTGAGTCCACTTGTAAAGGAGGACCTCACCCCACCACACACATTGCCCGTCCCTTCTCCCTGACCAGCCTTGAAGAGTAATGCAGTCCAGCAGCCCAAACCCAGGCTGGGGGTCTAAACCCCCGAGTTCACCACTTCCACCTCGGACCCTCTAAAGTGAGACCTCCCAGAGCGTTCCTTATCACTCCCCTCCACACCCTCAAACCCCTCATCTCCCACCCACGGCCTGTGAGAAGGACAATGTCCTTCACAGAGAGGCACTGTGAGGGTGGGGGTGAGGGTCGAGGGAAGGGAGGGGCTAAGTGTGGGAGGCACATCCCAGGAGGAGAGGGTCAAAAGGAGCTTGGCAAAGCAGCTGGCGCAGACATGTAGTGGGAAAGAGGGTAGAGCCACTGATACTTAAAGCAGGAACCGGCCGGGCACAGTGGCTTACACCTATAATCACAGCACTTTGGGAGGCCAAGGCAGGTGGATCCCCTGAGGTCAGGAGTTCAAGACCACCCTGGCCAACACGGCGAAACCCCGTCTCTACTAAAAATAAGAAAATGAGCCGGGCATGGTGGCAGGTGCCTGTAATCCCAGCTACTCAGGAGGCTGAGGCCAGAGAATCACTTGAACCCGGGAGGCAGAGGTTGCAGTGAGCCAAGATGGTGCCACCGCACTCCAGCCTGGGCAGCAGAGCGAGACTCCATCGCAAAAAAAAAAAAGCAGGAACCCCCTCCCCACAAGGAAACCTAAGCCAGCTCCTTCAGCTTGCTGAAAAGGGCACTGGGGCCCAAAGGCCTAAGGACGCGCCCAAGGTCGCGCAGTGAGACCAAGGTGCAGGCCAAGGTCTTGTTCTCAGCCCTTCAGAGTCACTGGTCTTTTTAGTGTAACAAGTATCGTCTGTGGTCTCTGTGGCTGTTTAAGTCAGTTTTCATTAGAGTTTGTCTGGGGGCAGAGTCGCTTGATCAATAATAAACTATCTTATTCTCTTACCAGAAATTCTGGTCTTGACTCTATTCTAAACATGAAAACATTTTTCCATACTTACAAAACAAATGTCTTTTTTTGTGTGTGGGGGGGGACGGAGTCTTCCTCTCTCACTCAGGCTGGTGGGCAGCGGTGCAATCTCGGCTCACTGTAACCTCCGTCTCCCAAGTTCAAGCGATTCTCCCACCTCAGCCTACGGAGTAGCTGGGATTACAGGCACACATCACCACACCCAGCTGATTTTTGTATTTTTAGTAGAGACGGGGTTTCGCCACGTTGGCCAGGCTGGTCTCAAATTCCTGACCTCAGGTGATCCATCCACCTCGGCCTCCCAAAGTGCTGAAATTACAGGCGTGAGCCATCATGCCCGGCCCAAAACAAACTACTTGAAAGAGTTGTCAACTTTAATTTCTGGCAATATAGTAGATAAGATGATTTTAAAACTCTCATTTTATAAATAAATTTATAAACAATTGAGCAAAGCTCCCTTAGTAATGAGGAAGCTGGTTTTTTATTTTTCATCACTTTAAATTTTTACATTTTTTTTTATTTTTTAGAGACAGAGTCTTGCTCTGTCGCCCAGGCTGAAGCACACTGGCAAGATCATAGCTTAGTACAGCACTGAACTCATGGGTTCAAGAGATCCTTCTGCCTCAACCTCCTGAGTAGCTGGGACTCTAGTCACACACCACCATGCCTGGCTAATTATTTATTTATTGTAGAGATTATGTATTTACTGTAGAGGTCTCACTATGTTGCCTAGGCTGGTCTTGAACTTCCAGCCTCAAGCAACTCTCCCTCCTTGGCCTCCCATGGAGGCAGCCACCATGCCTGGCCACAACTGGGTTATAATGGCTGCTCAGAGATGAGACCTTAGACCGGAGAGATGCAGAGAAGCTGAAACTGGGAACTATACCTACATCCTCAGAGAACCAGTAGAACACTGACAAAATATGACAGTGAAGATTCTCTGGGCCAGGCGAAGCAGCTCATGTCTATAATCCCAGTACTTTGGGAGGCTGAGGTGGGAGGATCATTTGAGGTCAGCAGTTCAAGACCAGGCTGGCCAACATGGCAAACCTCATCTCTACTAAATATACAAAAATTAGCTTGGCATGGTGGCACATGCCTATAATCCCAGCCACTCGGGAGGCTGAAGCAAGAGAATGACTTGAACCTGGGAGGCAGAGGCTGCAGTGAGCTGAGATCGCGCCACTGCACTCCAGCGTAGGCAGAGACTCCATCTCAAAAACAAAAACAAAACCAAAACCAAACAAACAAAAAAAAAGATTCTCTGTCTTAGCCTAAATTCTAGATATAAAAAAGAATTCTTTTTTTTTTTTTTTTTGAGACGGAGTCTTGCTCTGTCGCCCAGGCTGGAGTGCAGTGGCCGGATCTCAGCTCACTGCAAGCTCCGCCTCCCGGGTTCATGCCATTCTCCTGCCTCAGCCTCCTGAGTAGCTGGGACTACAGGCGCCCGCCACCTCGCCCAGCTAGTTTTTTGTATTTTTTAGTAGAGATGGGGTTTCACCATGTTAGCCAGGATGGTCTTGATCTCCTGACCTCGTGATCCACCCGTCTCGGCCTCCCAAAGTGCTGGGATTACAGGCTTAAGCCACCGCGCCCAGCCAAGAATTCTTATAAAAAAAAAATTTGTAACCAAGGGCCTACCCTTTAATGGATTTGAAATTTGAATTTGATATCGCTTAGTAACCTCCAGTCAATTC